AAATGTACATTCGCATTCGCATACATAAATAAAAGTATACTCGATATATGTATGTATGTTTTATTCTGTTGCTTTTATGCGTAAATACGGAGTAAAGATGGACGGACGAACAGGAAGAACGAATGAAACCTAAACAAATCATATTTCGTTTTCGTTTTTTGTCATTCAGCCAACTCAAATGTTCAATTGAGAGAGTATATGAGGTCAACATTATCATCTTAAGGAAAACAATGATTGTTCGTCTTCTTTTTTTCTCTCTATTAGCCTTATTATTTGAATAAATCCCAACTAGAGAAAAAAACAGAGAAAAAGAAGGAGAAAAAAAAAGGAAGACTAGAGAAATATGTCACCCGATTTCTGGATAAAAAAAAGCAAAACAGAATATATACTGAAATGCGAAACCTTTCAGACATATTCTGTTCTTTCTTTTTTTTTCGTTTTGCTGTTTCTCACAGATATAAACATGCCAACCGAGAGGCTTCTACATCTACTAATGGAATGAACAGAACATTATTTTTTCTATTCTCATTTCTTTCCTTTTTCTATTCTCATTTTTTTTTTTTTTTATTCATAAAGCAAGTCATGAGTAGATCCAAGGTTTTTTTGTCGAACGACGTCTATTGCACATTCAGACGATGGATAAAATATGTGATGGGAAAAAAAGAAACCGGGTGTTTTTCTTTCGCATCATATATACTGGCACATACATCTATCTATACATTCTGTTTTTTTTCTCTATATATACTAGTTCCTATACTTATTACATTGTCTTATTCGCCTGTCGTCAATGTAATAGATGACAAAAAGAAAAAAAAGTTCTTCGCGTCCTCACTCGCCGAAATCTCTGGCTATTACTTGTATGCTGAGTAATAAAAACAACGCAAAAGAGAAGAATGAGAGAGAAAGAAATATTATTGATGAAAAAAATGATAGAAAGCAATGCTACAAAAAAAAAAAAAGGGATGGATACAAACCACTCGAGTCACACGCATCTTATCTAAATGGCAAGATGTCACACATGCAATCAACGAATGTCTCAGAACGCAAGTAATACCAATCATGACCCATCAATGTCACCTGTTTATATAATAGTGATAAAATAGATCATAAAAACAGATCTGTTGAGCTAATTTGGTAATAGAAAGCATCAGGATGTAAGGACAAAAAAAAGAGCTATTAATGGAGGAAATATGGGTTAACAATGCATGGAAAAAAAAAAAGGTACTTGGAAAAATATTATTAAGTCGTGATAAACTCGTTTATTTATATCATTATCATCATCTTTGTTCACTGAATTTGAGTCATATATCTATGCATGATGACGTCAGAAATTCATTAGAAATTCTAATAGTAACAGCATGCACATGCTTCCGCACATAATAGAACGTCCGTTCGGCATCTATCGTTTAGTTATAATGTAAAAGAAACATTCTTTTTTTTTCTTATTTTTAAATAATATTCATGAAAAACAATATCATTTAATTGATATTATTTCATATTTACATCAATATAAATCGTTTAAAAAAGAAAAATCATGAAGTCATATACTCAATCATTATTCCATTATGATTGAATTTCTTTTTCTATTTTTAACGATTGCAACAAAAAAAATAAGCTGATTTTTTTTTTCCTAGAGATAAGAATAGAAAGATAACCTAAAATCGTATATTGTTTTTTTGAAATAAATTACAAAAATACATTCCTGAACAAATAAATATGCTTCTTTTTCCATATATTTGATATATTGTAAAGATTCTAATAATGGTAAATTTTTTTCAGCGAAATAAAAAAAACAAGAAAAGTATATTTTTCTTCATTCTTTTATTAGTCATCGATTTATAAAAATTTATTTAATTTGCTCAATATACTCAATTATTATATCGTTATTGAGCTTAATCGAATATTTTATAATATAAAAATGTAATTTAGATATAATCTTTTTATTGAAACATGATCGAAAATGTTTTTTTTTTTTTCTGCCAGACATTTACAAGGTATTTAACTTATTTTCCTTTAATCTTGTTTTCAAGAGGTTGGGTGTTTTTTTTTTCTATCTTACTCGAAAGAAAAACACTACAAAATATGCTGCTGAGAGCCTGAAAAAACAAAAATAATTGCGTTATAAGAATGAAACGAACATAAAAAATGGGTGTATTTTAAATATGCTGATTAAACCGAATATTTTTATCGATTAGTAATTTTTTTTTTTTTCTTATTTTTTAAGCCTATGGGCACTCTCAAAATGTTGAAAACATTTTTATACTGTATATATCTCAGCTTGAGTAAATGATAAAATGCGTCGTGAAGAGTTCTATGAAACTTGTATAAAAAAAAAGTTCTTATTACATTGTTTCAATTATTTTCTCATAGGGAAAATGAACACTTACATGATAGAGCTACTTCTCATCGTATTGAGTATCATAAAAAAATATTTAGTAGATCTTTTTGTTTTGCAATATGAGTTTATTCTTACAGCTCACGCAGAGCTTTTCGATGGTGCATTTTTTTTTGTAAATCATAATTTCGTTATTCTCTCAGGTAGAGATATATTTAAAATAAAGAATGTTTCAAACATTTTAGGACACCCGCTATTCTTTATTAATACTTCTAGATTTCGTATATCAATTATAACAAGTATGAGATTGCTTTTTATGTCTATTAATCATTGATTTTGTACACTATATCGCACGATGGTAGGTTCGATTTAGATTTTTCAAAAACTGAAAAAGAAACTTTTAAAATTTCATTAGAGATGACAAAAAATGATGTAATTTTTATATCGACTCGTTCATTAATATATCTTCTATCATAGAATAACCTCCGTATTGGAAGATCCTTATTTTCTTTAGTTAAATAATTAAGAAGTATATTTTTTTTAGATCTGAAAAAAATCTTTAAAATTCTCCAATCTATTCTAATTATCTAGAAAATCTCTTGAATTACTAGTAGTTAAAATAAAAGAAATCTATTACAAGATTGTCTGAAATATTTATCTATTTTGATATGAAAGAATATACTGAATGCTTTATTATAGGGAGGAAATTTAATTTATATGTATATATAAATGCAGAAGCTACTACTTTCTTATTCAATTAGTAAGCAAAATGTGTTTGTTTTGTTTATATCTCAATATTTACATGAACTAGAAACAGTCGAGTTTTCAACATAACACATATCTTAATCTCTTGTATAATTATGAAATGCCTTTCTTCATCTTTTCAAAATTATTCAACAACTTGTTTTTTCTTTCACGATTTCTATTCTCATATTTTCATATAAAACTTTATGCAAGACATTTCATTCAAAATAATATATTACTCTCTTCGTAAGAATTATTTCTATGGTATAACTGTAGGAGAAAAGCACGAAAACGAGTATTGTGAGACCTGTTCCAGGTCGTTGTGATAGAAAAGCTGTAGAGGTGCAGTTTTTTCTATCAATACTTAACCTATTACAATACGTAGTTTATCATCAGAAAAAACATCAAAAACTGTATCATACATGTTACTTGAATGAATAGAATGTGGCACAAGACTGACTTGCTTAGCCCTAATGAGAAAGTAGTTAAATGTCGAAAATTATTAATCCTTACAAATCCTTTGTAAAAAAAGAAACCGCTGTTTCTATGTTTTGATCAATAGAATGTAATATGACACACAACACAACAGTAAGGGTGAAATATGTGACTAAAAAGGATTTGAATTTTCGATATTTAACTACCAAACTACCCTAATCCATGTACCAAACAAGTTTAGCTCTTCATGTTTTGTTTCTATTCGTACACCAAGAGTCGTTTAAAGGTTTTGAAAAGTATGTAGATGTGTCGAAAATCATATACTCTACAAAAATCTAATAATCAGAACTAAAATAGTTCGAGTCTTATGAGTTTAAGCTATCGATAAGTTTTATTCTTGTTATAGCTCTGGAAAGAAGCTTTTTTTTTTAGGAAGAACGATGTCCTATAAATCTATACACTTTTCAAAACATTTACATGACTCTTGATGTGAAAATAATAGCAATATACGAGGTCTAGAATAGCTATTCACTTGAATATTGGCTCATCGTGCAGGCTTTCATAACAATTTTCAATAAAATAACGAAATGCAATGATATAATAAATTAATTTCTTATATGAGAATGATCATCATCATGAACCAATTGATTTAATTTTTGTCATACTTGTCAAAATGATGATTCTAATATATTGACAAGCTGTATTCAACGAAATATATAAGCCGTACAGGCTAATAGGATGAACTCAGAAAAAGTAATAATATCAGTTACTCTATCAAAAACTTCTAAAAATGTATTTTTTCTTTAAATATAGAATTAATCGGAAGAGTAAGACAAAAAATCTTTGGAGATGTCGATACTTCAGAAAATATACCTGCTACAAACAATTAGTTATAAAATTAAACAACAAAATTGATTAAAATAGTTAGTGAACATGAAAATCATGCTAGTAATCCATGATGTGAAGCAACTCGTCAATTTTATGAACCATTAAGATAAAAATCAGAATACAATCAAACAAATTCGCATCATATTTTAACACAAAAAAATATATTAGAGTAACGGTTAGACTATAGGTGAAAAGAAATGCCTCACCTTTAACCTAGTTTTACACACCTTCGCTATGTTGCTCTATTTAATCTTTCATAATATAATCAACAATGTTTTTTTTTTCGAATTACATACTCTTCCTAATGTATTATACTTCGCTAGTAAATATTCAACTGAATAACTGTTCGTTTTCCTATATACGAATAGTTGTGCTCATTTCATATATACATTAGGATGGGTCAAATCAACTTTGTACACGAGAGAATAAGTAATCGAATAATTTGAGAAGGTTGAAAAGAAAAGTATCTTATGGATTGTGTCGCCAATAAAAGCTGAACAAATGTGTAGATTGACCTGAAAATTTTCATAGATATACTAGAAACTAAAGCTTATGTTATGTTGAAAACTTGATTGTTCTAGTTCATGTAATTTTTGAGATATATACAAAAAGAAACATATTCTACCTATTGGTTGAATAATTTTGGTAACCACTGTATCTATAAATCCATATTCTTTTTTTTTTTTTAGATATTAATTTAGTTTTATTTTATTTATGTTAACCCTTTGGTGACCGACAACATATATATGCGTCATGAGTTTTATCATAACGTGAAACTAATGTAATCACTTATTATGCATATTTTTTCGATATATTTGCGTAAAAGCAAACATCACACAGCATGAGCTGTCAACATTATCATTTTTTTACGGTCTATGTTGGACGCCTGGGTTAAAAAATTAAAATATGCATGATGTCAAGCCACTCTATTTTACGTTTATGTATCTTTTATCGTAATCAAAAGATTAAGAAGAAAGAAATATCTATATTATACTGAATTCAATTTAGTTGATCAATATGTAAAAGTTTGTTTTCCTACATTAATAGATATAATCGTTTTGTTTGCTTAGTGTTTTTCTTAGACATAGAAAATGTATACTTTTATTACTATTGATGATACGTTTTTTGTTCATTTTTTCTGTTTTAGATGTCCATAAACGATGATCTCAATTGCATTAATCTAACGTAGAAACGAATCGAATGATATCAAAAATCATTCGATGATTTCTTTTCTTTGATCATTCAAAATAAAACACTTAATAATGGATGATTCTAACCTTTCAAAAACAACAACCAAACATAAAAATTTTTATTCTACACATTAAATGTGAAAGAAATCTCTACTGTTAGAATACAATACAGATAGATCTCAACACATTTATTCGATACTAATTTCAAGGCTAAACCTGTGAATAATCTTCAGAGGCAAAACAAAAATTTCTCTTTAGAGTTTAACAAGAAGTAACACAGTTGTTTTCAAGAATTAGCCAGTCTTAGTCTATCTCTTGGGAATTTGTTTTACATTAGTAATAGAAGAATAGTCAAATAGATATTAATAGAAATCTTCAAAAAAAGAAAGCAAATAGCTTATCAAGATCTATGTTATATGAGATAATTGAAAAAAGTATACAAGAGACAAATCTCCAACAACGGGGGAAAAAAAAAACTAGATTTTATATAAGATATCAATTAAATAGATTGAATACAAATAATATCATTTATCGTATTTGAATTTAAAATAGAACAATGTTCAATGATGACTAAATTATCACTAAACAAGGAGATACATAAATCTGATTAATAAGACACGATTAATAAAAAAAACAAAAATTCCGGTTGAATAAAATTTACAATTAATAAGACCAAATTAATTTTAAATTACATATATTCATAACTTAGACAAATCAAAACTTATTAGATTTGACATTCAAATAAAATAAATGACTAACAGACAGATCCAAACGATCTATTTCAAATAGTATTATCTATGTTTATCTTTTATTGATTATATTCAAAAAATGAAAAAAAAAAAAAAACAAAACTATTGGTTACATCTAATTCATTTTGATAACAATATCATTTTCACTTTTACGAAACATAGAAATGAAGTTGATAACTATTCATTGATAAGCCTACAAAACAAGATGACTTTATTTTATCTATTTGTTTTTTAATGATAATATTTCTTTTTTTTTTGACTATATAACATAATAATAACTCAGTAAATCGATGTTCTTTTTTTGCTTCAATTTTCTATGAATCACGAATGAGAATAATAATAAAATATAAATGTCACTCAGGATGAATATATTTTCGATATACAAAAAAAAAATTTTGTCTGACCGATACAAATAATTACATGTCTTATATCACGCAGCGAAAAAGAATTTAATTTTTATTAACTAATTCATTTACACAAAAGGAAATTGACGTCTAATCCTTCATTAATAGTTGTGTTATTTACTACGAATGTAATGTGTAAATTTACATGACAAACAAATGTTTTATTACAAACAAACATATATATACACTCTGTTTTACTGCTTAACCTTTTGTTACTTATTTAACTTTTATTTCATCATTTTTGCTTTATTTTTTTTTTTACTTGGATGAATAACTAATAAGTTTTTTTTTTTTTTTTTTTTTTTTTTTTTTATCACGTATTCATAAAAATAAAACAACGATCATTTGAAATTTTTTTAGATATATAAATCAAGATAATTAGTCAACCATATGATGATCAATAAAAAATAAAGGTATTCTTTGTAATGATGATTTTTATTTACCTCATAAATTGTTTCAAGATCTTGTTTATCATGTATTGAATATCGTCGTATTCGATCGTTTGTCGTTATATTTAATGTATTTACAGGAGCAAATAGAGTATTTCGTCTATCACATGTCATTATTGGATCATTTGATAATATTTGTTAATAAAATATTTAATAAACAATCTGAATTATTATAATATGATAAAGACCAAATGTAGATAGACAAAAAAAGCTGTCTAGATTGTATGTATTCGTTTTATTGTAAAACAACTGTAAATTTCATCTCGTTTTTCTTCGCTCTCTTTCTCTATATGTCTTTCTCTCCATACTTGAACACTACTACTACTCCTTGTCACTTTGAAAAAGCAAGAGAGTTTGCCTGCGAGCGTCGTTGTCATCGTTGCTGTCTTTCTTTTTTTTTTTTTTTTTTATCTCATAAAGAAAAAGAATGTAGGCACCAAATAAAAATACGAGAAAATTATGTTCGCTCGTGACAACAACTTTCTTTTTTTAAAGTACATTAATAATGACGTATATATTTTCTGTGCACAATACACACACAGCTGCTTATTTTCGATGGCATATTTTTATGCTTCCGTATCGAACACTTGTGTTAAGGATATTTTTTCATTTATTTAATTCTTTTTCTTGTTCCTTTTTTCTTTTTGTCTATTTCTGTTGACGTCATCATTCATAAGTCGGTATCGACTGAAAACAATAATTTCATTGGATCGGATCTCGAAAAGAAATATAGTTTATTGATAGTATGTCAACATTGCTCAAAATATAATTCTATGTCGTAAAAAAAAAAACCATATTATCAACTGTCGACAAATTTATTAATGAATTTTTCTCTCATATATGACCAATTGTAAGCGAGAACACAAAAGACATCCGTCGTCTTAACATAGTGCCTTTACTTTTTTTCTCGTTTCTGCACACATCAACCAACATGTAAGCCTTTAGACGACTACTATTCTTTTCTTTTTGAATAACAATAATCATAATAGACACAATAGTTACTCAAAGCAAATCAATAAAATCATATTCGATTTGAATAGTATTTTTTTTTAACAGAAAAAAAATATATAAGAGTTTGGTTTGTTTTCTTTCTCTTTTTTTTCTTCAATTCTAAACATTGAAAATTGATTTCAAGCAGTGTAAGCAAATACCATAGCATAGCATGCAACAAGCAAATCAATATGAAAATCAATTCACTTACTTCATCAATCGTGTGAAGTTCAGGATTGTTATCAGATACATCTAAATATTTTTTATTTGGCACACTAAAACGACGTGTACGTCGAGCGAAATTGAATATGCCATGGTTATTTTGATTACTAGTTGCCGAATTTTGACGTTTCCGGGATGATGGAGTGAATACAGAAATAATCTGTTTTCTTATACTCTCAGGATCTATTGAATGTCGTCGCATGATAATGAATATAATTCTTCTTATTTAATTTTTATTGTTACATATTTCGTGTGAGGATTAATCTAATAGATATAAACAAAAAAAAAAAAGGAAATTAATAAGACATGAAAATACATCAATTGACGAAGGATAAAAGAAGAAAATAATATTTACATCTATTAAACTTCGTCAATAGATAAAAATACTATTGTTAAATCAATTCACTCTATTTTTTTTTAAATTAGAAAAAACAACTGAGGAAAAACAAATTTATCTTCAAACCACTCTTCTATTCATGTAAATGTTTGCTTTCGTTCGAAGCATGTATGTACATGTAAGGTGCTCTTTATTGCTACAAGAAGCATCATAAGAGCAAGAAATCGAGAGAAAGAGAGAGAGAAAAAAGACAGCAAAATTTTATCTTCTTTTTTTTTTTCTTTGCTTCACATCTCAATCAACAATAAAAAAACTAAAAACTTTACACAGATTTTTCTATGTGTCACTATAAACAAAATTAATGACCGACATTTTCTAGCATACAGTCAATCAATAAAATGACGTTGTTGAAATATACAATATGTGGTTGATGATATATACTAACATACCACGATAGACACAAAGAAAATAGTTACATATAAAGATAATTATCCCTTAAATCGTTTATACCTACAATCAGATCATAAAATGCCAAGAAAAAGAAAAAAAAGAACGAAGTATTTATTCGATTCTATTGTGTGTTGACTGCTCGAAAAGAAAAAGAAAATGCAACATTTGACATAGTCTAATGTTTCTTTCAATGATTAATACGAAAGAAAAAACAAAAAACAGTACGTTTTTACTAAATGCATTCTTTGTTTTTTTTTTATTTATTTCCATATATATGTTGACATTAGATCACGCGTTCTAATTACTTTCGCCTTATTTCCATTTTTAAGCTGATGCTATTTTAAGAAAGAGAAAAGTTGAAGACAATATTAAACTCTATTTCAAGGTATCTTCTATTTTTAATCAAAAAGAAAACATTCCTATTTTACTGTTCTCCAGGTAAATAGAAATATATTGACTCATATCTAATTCATTGTTTTTTTTTTTGTCCTATTCTTTATTATTCAACACTAAAAGTAAAAATATGCAAAAACAAAATTTTTTTTTTCAATAAAAAATTTAACTAGAACAAACGAAAAATACAAGTATCAATCAAAGACGTATATCTATTCGATATTAAGAAATTATATCATATCGAATATAGATATTAATAGAAAGAAAATGGAAGAAGTTATTATTAAAAGTCATCGAATTAATTATGCGTAAAATAATTTTTTTTTTCAATAAGTGATGCTATTGATATGGTTCACTAATACAATTAAACTTATATCTATATTAAGAACTTATATTATCTTCTCATCAATAGTAAATGTTAATCAATAATTTATCGATTTATATTTTGTAATAAAATAATTTACTCATTGATATCATCATTCATTAACCTACCATATATGTATAGATTTATATTTATATTCAACTTTCTATTTATTCAAGTATTTTCTTACTTACAGACTACTAAATTTAGAAGGATCATACGATCGTAATTCCCATTTGTTTTTATTATATTATATCTGTTAGACAAATCAATTCGATACGATATATCTGTCTAACCCACACGTAGAGCTAATTTGAGAAAATAATAGTTGTTGTTTCTAACATATTTCCATTTATATTCTTGACATAAACAAACTGACAGAATAATATATTGGTAATAATTCAGATATCATTGGAAAAAATTAGTTCCATTGTTGATAATTATATAAAGACTCATATCGGTTTTTGTTTATTAATATCTTCGTTTTAACAGAAATACAGTTTTGAAAAAAAAAAAAAACAAAAAAATAATAATAATAATAATAATAATAACGAAGAATCACATAGCACATAGATTCACCAAAGAAAAAAAAAAAACAAGAAGTAAAAAGAACGAATAGACAGAAAGAAAGAAAGAAAGAAAAAAAGAATGAGAACCTATGTGACAATTGTCACACACGCATACACAGACTGAAAGAAAAGGAAAATTAATTGACTTTTCTATATTAAGCACTTGTATCCGATGCTAATAAATTCCGTACAGGTGGAGATGAACTACTAGTATTTAATGAAGAAACTCGTCGTTTTCGTTTATTTCCACTTGTTGTGGTTGTTATTGATGAAGAAGATGATATTATATTTGTTGTATTAATTGAAAGAATCTGACTTGATGCATTTGAAGTAGGTGATGATATTGAAAAAGAATCTGATTGAAAAAATGCAAGTAAATCATCATGATCACGTTCAAGTAAAGCAGCACGTGTACGTGTTGTATGTGCTATAATAGAAGCAACTTCTTTAACTTTATTTGGAATAATTGAATGATGATGATGATGATGATTATATATAGGCGGTGATGATAAATTATTTTTATTAATTGTTAATAATTCATTATCATCTAAACATAAATGTACAGCTATACGTGTACATGGTGTTGATGGTGTTTCTTTAAAATTTATTTTATATTTTTGTTCAAATGTTTCATATGAAAGAAAAAATTCTTCAATACGTAATGCTTCATCTTTTGTTGAAAAATAACCAAATGTTTCACGTATAAGTGCTTCAAGATATTCATCATTATAATTTGTTCTTAATAATAACCAATTATCTTCAATATATCGTTGATAATAATATCGACCTTGTTTACTTAAACAAAAACCTTTATAACATTCAATACGTTCATGTAAACGTATTGAATTATTATTTGTTGAATTATTTATTGTAAATAAATTTAAAACACGTTCAATTTGAGATGATTCTTGTACATATGATAAACCATATGCACAACGAAGACGATCATCACGACGTGGACATTGTTCCCATAATTTAAATAAATTATTTAAATCACTTTCAGATGCATGATGAGCTACTATTGCACATATTGGCCAAAGAACAGTTACTGATGGATCATTTAAATATATAAGTAATTGTTCACGAGCATTTGATATTATTGTTGGATCATAACCAATTGTACCTTGAAAGAATAATATATAAACATAATGTATTTATTATTATTATAAACGAGAAAATTTACAGTAAGATTTTAATGAGGGAAATAAGTAGAAATGATAAACATCTTGAAATTGTCATCCGAGACTTTGCGGAAGTATACTAACTGTCATTTTTTTTTTTTGTAATATGAGCAAAAAAAAACGAGAAGACTGATGTTTTGTCTAGAAGCTGGCAATTATATTTCACCAAGTTAGGCATGACAATATTCTGATATCTTTTTATTTATAGATTAGTCGTTGTAAAGAGAAAAAAAAAAAAGAAATGTTAGTGCAGTGCTTACAGGATTAAAATGTGAAACACGATGTAGCTGCTGTTACTAATCATAGGGAGATTGTTTTATTTTATTCTATCTATTTTGAGACATATTTCTTCATTATCATTTTATTTAATCTTCTAGAAATGCAATAAGACAGTAGTTTATATATTATAATGAGACTTTATTCATATATAGTATATGATCGTATATCATCAGCGTTTGTCACAGTCTGTGGAGGAAAGTTTCAAATTTCTACATCTATACTTCAATGTTGGTTTTTTAGATCGTGTTTCTCAAAAAAAAAGATCCTATGGAATATAATTGAGCCTAAAAAATTGCAGAATATGATAAAATTTGTATGAATTCAAAGAAAAT